TCCCTTGTATGCCTTGGTTTCTTGCAATAAGTACACCACAAATTGTCTTTGTTCTCCTTCCCTTGGTTATCTCTACCCGAGTGTTTAGGCAGATCATTCTTCGACTTCTCCTGATTTGTTTTTGTTGCTAAGGCTGACCCATCCTTAGTATGTGGTTCTAGCATGACACCCCTTCGACTTTCTTCTGCTCGGATTAATGAGATTGTCTCTTCTAAAGACGGTGTATCCTCCTTGCCGAGAATTTGGATCCTAACTTGATCAAATTCAAAATTCAATCCTGCCAAAAAATCATATATCCGATCCTTCTCAATGAACTTCTTCAAAGTGGCAGTATCATCAGGGCATTTCATCTCAATTACTCGATAGTGATCCAGTTTCTGCCAAAGATTTTGCAACAGAGTTGCATAGTCTGTGACAGATTTGTCTCTTTGTTTAGTAGCACCAATTTTTTCCTTGATTTCATACACAAGGGCAGCATCACGGGCCTTCGAGTATGTTTGATTGATATAGTCCCAGATTTTCTTTGCGGTATTCAAGAACATGCAAGTGTCACTAATCGTTGGGTCCATGGAATCCCATAGCCAGGACATAATCTTGGAATCCTCCTCATCCCATGCGGTAGAGGCTGGATCCTTTTTTTTCTGGTTTGGTTCCAAGTAGGTGATTAAGCCTCCCTTTGCCCTTTAGATATGTGCGGACAATTTGGGACCATTTGAGATAGTTCTTCCCATTGAACCTGTTGGATGCCCGAATATTTTGCAACTCTCCAATTTTCTGAACTGCATTGGATTCTTCGGAAGGGTTGGAAAATCTGGATATAGTTGTTTCGGACATTGACATGGTGGGGAAGAGAAATTCGCAGCAATTAAGGCTAGAATATGCAGAGAAGGAAGCCCAGAGAAGAGAAAAACGGCAATGAAGGCTATCCCAGAAAATTCCAAGATACAGAGGCTGAAGAATAGTCGGTTGCATAAAAAAAACCAGCTGGGTAGGGAGGCCTCACGACATAGAAACAGGAATCCAATTGAAATTCCTGTGGATAGAGACAGAAATCTGATTAAAATTCCTGTAGGGAGACGCCAGCAGCAGAAAATCGGCGGCAAAAGAATCAGTGGGAGCGGCAAAGGAATCAGCGTCAAGGGGATACAGGTAACAGCGGTCGGAATCAGCGGCTACAGGGTGGAATCCTCTGGGGTTTCGAACCTGTATCTGAAACCATTTGGTAAATCAAAAAGGAGAAAAAATAATTTTGTATTTCCTTCTATTTTTGAATTGATAATACATGGTATTATATAGGAGATTACATGGAGAAAAAAATAGGAAACTGACTCGTTCCTAAATCTGGAAACTATTTAACTAATTCCTTCAATTTGAGAGATTACAAATTAATTCAAATTCCCTCTATTTAAGTGATTACAAATTAATTATAATTCCCTTAATTTAAGGGATTACAAATTAATTCTCCCAACCTTATTTCCATTTCAGACACACCTCGACAATTATACATATGTATTAAAGGGTAATCCATAAGATGAGCAATAAATAAAATATTTTCCTAAATTTCCGCAAATACCATTTCATAAAAAAGAGTATTATGATCTCAATTAAGTAAGCAAGCTAAATAAGGTTGCAAGCGTATCAGTGGGTGATATGGGATGGCAAGAAACCATGCTTACAGGATCAAGCTACTAAGACTTCTAAAGTTATGTAAAATACACAAATAACTAAAATTTTACATGATCATGCAAAATATCAATTAATGTTTTATTAAACATCAGTACTTTGCTAAGGCAGATAATCATAAATTTACCCACATTAACTACGTTATCACCTTCTTGCTTAAATTACATTTTTTACAAATACAAACAAGAGTTTATTTTTAACACAATCAAATATTTGAAATCAAGCAAGGCCACAAGCTACCTTTAGTTTCAAACAAAATCTAAACCTGAATTACATCAGATGATGCAAACTAAAATGAAATTTTAGTCAAAATATGTTCAATTATAAGTATTACCACTTCAAATGTAACAAAGTGGCTGGTCTCGCATTTCAAAAAAGTACCTTTAGTTTCAAACAAAATCTAAACCTGAATTAACATCAGATGATGCAAACTAAAATGAAACTTTAGTCAAAATATGTTCAATTATATGTATTACCACTTCAAATGTAACAGAGTGGCTGGTCTCGCATTTCAAAAAAAAAAAACCATCGTAAGCCATTTTATTTTTCAAAAAAAAAAAGCACAATCACCTTCTAATTACTGCAACATCACTTATATTAAAATTTGTCCCAAGTCTTCTCTTCAATTCCAATGATGTCCAACTTTTACAAGATAATTTGAATTTGTACATAAATACCCAAAAACTTGAGATGGTGCAAGAAACCACGGGTTAAATTCCAACATGACAAATTAATAAACTATTAGGAGGAACTAAACTGCATAATTCTATCTCATCATCATCATTACCCACATCCCCAATTTGGGTATGGTTATATAGATCTTCCACCATTCTTCTCTAGTGTCATGTTTATCTAGTTCTATCAACTAGTATTCTTCACCATTGTCTGGGTATTATTAGCAAGCACTACTACTAAAGCGTAAATAGATACAAGCAATAAAGGAAATAAAACAGATCTGCAGTTCCAAAATAAACAGAGAAACAAAAACAGCATTTTAGTTTCTAGATTGCTTGACTATTTGACAGTTAATAAGATCTTCATAATTAAAAAGAACAAATGAAAAAATAGAATGAGTATCTTACAAGAATTCACAAATATAAGCCTAATGCACTTCAACAAACATTGTCGCTCAAAAAAATACTGACGCAGTACCTTCAAATCAGAAATGAAATCAATGTTAGGCCTATCAAATCTCAAACAAATACACTGCTATCAGTTTTATGATATAAGTTGCCATGCAGGAATACATCGACATAAAACTGTTCTAGGAATCTGAAAATGCAAGGGATGATAACAGGCCGACAAAATGGCAGAAAATTACTCAGAAAAGTAAAATTGATGCAAGATGAAAAGCAAAGACGATAAAAAATGTAAAAAGCTCAGGGAAAACTGATGCCAGATAAAAAATTTTAAAAGAAGCAATGGTACACATTACCCCCAACAAAACAATGTTATCTGACGCAAAGAAGAAAATAAATAAGGAAATGCTTCAAATCACATGGATAGTCCTCTGTCAGAAATTCGAAAGAAAATTCCAAATAAAAGTTAAACATGAGAGAATGGCTATTAGGGCAGAACTAATAAGCTCTCAAGGTTGATAAAGCTCCAAGCCAACTACTTAGTTCTCCGTACACATAAGGGAAATCCAGAGAAACCCTGTTTTTCACAACCTGAGTCCAGGAGACGTTACACCCCAGAATGTATATAAATTTGTTTTCTATGCATAATTAGAGAAATTTGTATATAGGCAACAAGAATAATAAAAATAAACAAGAAAAAATATTTTTTTCATTAAATCAATAAAAATTACAACGGTAATCTAATAACAGAATAGATCAATATCTAACAAGAAATAAAAACAGAGAACTACAAAAAATAAAATTACCGAAACTGAAATAAATTGAAAAATCAACACCTGAAAATTTATTGTTAAATAAATTGCTCGTATGGTGATACTCCACCAAATGACCTAGTATAACTTACTATAAGGAAATACCAAGAGGTGATTTTGACGAATCAAATCCATAAAACAACCGGTATTTATTAAAATATAAACAATAAGATATTGAGGCATGCAATATGAACTACAAAAGAGGACAATTTATACATGCACACACAAACACACACAAGTTTGAAGAATTGAGTCGAATACTTTAATAGATATGAAATGTTGGCTTAAATACAGCTTGCTCGAATCCTAAACTTATTAAGGTAGTAACACCATATCTCCTAAACTTAGGAAAAAAATAACACTCATATCTCCAAGATGACAAAAATCAAAACAAATAAGTTAAAAAAATAAACTCCTATAACAATATGGAAATAACATTAAATAAATAAAATTTGAATAAAACATATATCACTCCCCACAAAGTCGAAGCATAGATGAATCATGTTCAACTTGGACTTGGAATCATCAAACAACGGGGGATAAAGATTTTTTGTGATAATATCGGTCGGTGGACCGGCAAATGGGATAAACCGAACATAAATATACACAGAATCGAGATTCTTCTTAATAAAGTGATGATCAATAGCCACATGTTTGGTACGATCAAGTTAGATCGCAGTATGAGCAATGCTAATGGCAGCCTTATTATCACAAAAAACATCAGATGAATGGTGGTCGGCATATGTAACAAGCAACATGATGTGCAACCAAAGGACTTCACACACACACAAAGACTGAGCTAAACTCGGCTTCAGCACTACTACAAGCAACAACGAACTATTTTTTACTTTCCAATTGACAAGGTTCCCCAAACGAACGAAAAATAACCCAAGAAAGATCGTCGTGAACGAACCCGATCCAATCAGCATCCGTATAAACCACAACAAAGCGAGAGGTATGACAATTGAACAAACCTGAGTCCGATGTCCATTTTAGGTAGTGGAGGATCTGATAGATAGCGATAAGATGGTGCTCGTAGAGGTCATGCATAAACTGACTTACGACACTAACGGCGCGACAAATGTCTGGGCGCATATGGCCAAAGATAAATGAGCTTGCCCACGAGGCATTGGAAGCATATTTTGTTCATCAAAATGGCATTAAAAACTTCAAATAATTTCTCATTGGGGTCCATTGGGACAACTACCGATTTACAAAGAAGTATATTAGCCTTGCCAATAAATTCATTACAAACTTGCATTGGAAAAGGCAAATGCCCCGAGAGGATCAAGCTACTTCTATGCCTAAGAAATGTCGAAGGTAACCCAAGTCATTAATCTCAAAAGATGCGGCAATGATTTCCTTGAGAGTCTCCAAAATTGGCAGATCGTCACCCATGAGCATGACGTCGTCGGTAAAACATGAGGATGGCAATACGGTCACCAGACATATGGCAAAGAAACAACATATAATCAGATTGGGACAGAAAGAAACCATGGCCCAATACAACTTGCGGCACTTGCCAAACAACACCCGTCGGGATTGTTTCAATCCATAAAAAGACATCCACAATCGACACACTTATCCACGAGAACAAGTCAAGTCAAATCCCGAAGGGAGAGATATATAAACCTTGCCAGCGAAAACGTCGTTCAAAAAAGCATTCAGATTCACGGCTAGGGATAACAGGACCCAAAATGCATTTAATTTAACAACCGAAGCAAACATCTCTTCATAATCAACCTCATAAATTTGTGAATATCCATTGGCAACCAACCGTGTCTTTTTGCATTCATGAGTCATCGGAGTTAAATTTCATGTTGAAAATCCAACTACAACTCATAGCTTTCTTTCCAAGAGAGAGATCAAACACGTCCTAAGTATGGTTACGACGAAGGGCATTCATCTCGCCCATGACTGCAACCTTTTAGTATGGGTCAGCTAACGCCGCCTCAATAGTGGATGAGAAATAATGATACATCAAAGATGTGGCAAATGCTTTGTAGGACAAAGATAGGTCGAACAAGACATATTTCTCCATGGGATAAAGAGGGTGCAGTGTGCATGATTGTACTTGTTTGTGTAACTGAATAAAGAGATTCAAAGCTTCACCTGGATCAGAAGTGACGCTTGTAAGCATCGTACCAGGGACGTCGGGAGGAGCGGACTCCCAGAATTGAGCGAGGCGCGGGCTCGATGGTAGGAGCATTTGGACTGGTCTCAATAGATATTTGAACAAGTATAGACACGAAGAGGGTGTAGTGGTGTTGGCCCAGTTGGTGGTGAATCTAGCAGGGTCGAAGATGCGTCAGGAACAGTGGTTGTAGGAATAGGAAAGATGACCACCATAGTTTAGAGTGGAAACAGGAACAGTGTCCAAAAATGAAGCTCCCCCTCACTTGAGGCGGTGTTTGGGAAAGATACATTTCAAAAAAGAAAAGAAAAACGACATCATCGTTAACATAGATTTTATTGGCAGTAGAATCAAAACACAACTTTTTTTAGTGGTGAAATAGCCAAGGAAGATAATAATTGAGTGGGGATTAAATTTACTACGTGTCGGGACTATGTTTCGAACAAAGGTTTTGCGATAAAATATTTTGGGCTCTAAAGAGAAGAACCAGTCTTGGCAAAAAAACATGACATCAAGATGGATAATGAGGTCCGAAAGTTGTGGATTTTTGCGGGAACTCTATTGATGAGGTTGGTAGGGGTAAGGACATAGTCATTCCAAAAATGCTTAGAAACATTAGTTTGAAACATAATGAAATCAGCAACTTCAAGGTGTCTACTTTTTCGCTCAGCTACATTGTTTTGTTGGGGGAAATTCGTACAAGGTCTATCATAAAGGATGCTCTTACCAACCAAGAATTATGACAATATAGAGTTAAAGTTCTGAAGGACTTGAAAAGTGCATTTGAATTGAGTTAGAATGAAAGAGTGAAAATTTTTAAATCTGACAACAACTTCAAATTTACTATTAACATATACACCCAAGACTTTCGAGTGTGACCATCAATGAGAATAAATAACCATTGTTTATTGGTATAGCTCGAAGTTTAAGAGGATCCTCAAAAGTTACAATGAATAAGTGAAAAAAACTATGAATGGGTGTGCGAATGAGAAGGATATGACACACATTGATGCTTAGTTAATTTACAAATTTCACATTTAAAGAAGATAAATTTTTATCAATAAACATCAAAGAGTCTAATTGTTTTAAATAATGAAAGTTGAGATAGCCAAAACAATAATATAAAAGCATAATTGGACATGAGTGCTAGCGTCATCAACTACGAGATTGAGTGTTAGCGTCATCAATATTATTTTCTTGGAAAAAATTGTCCGACCACCCACTTAGCAATTTCAATCATTCTCCCTAACGACAATCCTGAAAGACACCAAAATCAGGGGAAAAAATGAGATATGCTGTCAAAATCACATATTACCTAGCTGACCAACAAGAAGTTACACTTAAGCAAAGGAACGTGTAACACAGATTCCAAATTCAACATAGCTGCTCGTAAAATTGACCATTTACCCGTAATGGAATTAAAGGAGCCATCAGCAATTTTAATTGTATCTCGCACAAAGCAAAGAGAATACATCGAGAGAAAAAAAAGAACTCTCAGTCGTGTGTCCACGAAACCAAAAAAACAAAATCAGCGAGAGCCATAAATACATTGCCTTGACGGACATAAGAGGTCAACGGAGGAAAACTAAAAATAACCAAGCAGCTCAATCAAATGTTTCGCCTAATTCTTAATAGATTTCGACGAGTCCGAAATGGGCAGAGTAGGTGTCAGCTGAGTAGTTGTGGATTCAGGGGTCGTTAACGAGACCTATAGCGGCTTAAGATTTGGCTAAAAACTTATTTGTTGGTTTCCCGTGGAGCTTCCAATGCTTTTCATGGGTTATAATAGGGTTTGTGGCAAAAATCACATGTGGGGTCATTAGCTCAAAATCACGTAGCAGAGTATAGAGTACTCTTGGAGACCAAGGCTGACAGCTCGCCTAAAGTAGTTAAGTTTTCGAGCATGACAAGTTTTCAGCTTTCTTTGCGGCGAATCTCGGTGAATGCTTCCCAGGTTAAAAAAAGAGAGTCGCAGCCAAGTATATAGCCGCAGACTTCATCGAGATCCTTGTTCAGGCTAGCCAGAAATTTAAACACATGATCCTTGCCCAAAATCTTATGAAAGAGGAAAAGATCTGCGGATAGCAAAACATACTATAATACTAAGCATTTTCTTTCTTAATCATTTGATGTTAAGAAATTGAAACACATTATCATTCTCTTTCTTAATCATTTGATACTAAATACATTTTGTCTTTTATGTGTGACCATACCAGCATCAATATATGGGATCGCATCAAGACTTCATAGCTAAACATATTTCGGTGAGAATGGTACTAGGATGTGAGATTTCCTATGAAGTTACACAATTGGGACAAAGTCGTGATGACAATAAGCCAAGGCAGACAATATCTCAAAAGGTGAGAGTTTGCGTTGTTACAGATGGTCCCGAAGATAAGAATATCTACATAGTGAAACATTATGGGATAAGAACTGACAATGACGCATACTAAAGCAAAGATTGTGCAAGCAAAATGAAGCTAAATTCTCAAACATCGAGACATGTTTTGGTATAATTATTGGATTTTCAACAAAAACTCTAGAATTAAGTGTGCACATACAGAAGCACTCCTAGAAAGAGTGATAACCTAAGAAGTTACAACAATGGGGCAAATTGTGAGACTGCTGGGCCAAACTGAACAATATCACGATAGTTGCTTTTACACTAACAGCGATTCAGGAGGCTCTCTGTAACGCCCAAATTCCAGAAATCAGGTAAAGCTCGGCACAATTGAAAAAGTACCCAAAATTTTTCGTCTCCCGCATTTGATCGAAATAATCTTATTAAATTCTACGCATTAAATCGATTAATTCAACATAAAACACCATACGTGAATAATGAATGGTTTGAAAAATATAAAATAATAAAGTTATAAGTTTAATTAAATTAATTAAACTTTATTTAAATCGTAAGTATTTCCTTAACCCTTTGTTATTGTAGCCAGCCGACATCTCTTAGGCTTTTTATTTCAATCAATCAAACGAATAGGGCAAGAATTTGCGCATTCTTCCCCTCTCCCTATTTTCTTTCTCTCGAACTCCCCCTCTCCCTGTTCCTTTCATGCTCGGAAAAAGTAGGCGAGCCCTGTGAGCCCTGTGAGCCCTGCGAACCCCTTGCTAAAGTGAACGGGACAAACAGGCAGCGAACTGAACAGACACATGGTGGTTGCAACTCGGGACTTAGGGCTCCGTGGTGAAATCCAAACGTATGAATCTCTCTCTCTCACCATTCAAAGCTTGCATTTCCTTCCTCACAATTTCTTATTGAAGTTTGCCTCGTTTTTCGTGTTTTTCTAGTTTCTGAAAGCTGTCAAAGGCGTTGATTGTGTGTCGGAAGTGTGGTAATCGTTTTACAAGCTTCCAAAAGGGATTTTAGCACGAATTAGATATGGGCAAGTAAAGTTGGAGGTAATGGGAAGAAAATTAGTTGGTTTTTGAAAGCATATTTATGTCGAAAAGCCCCTTTGAGGCATGTTATGGGGAATGAGTTATGTATGTTTTGGGTTAAATCATGTTATGAACATGAATTCCATGAATTATTATAATTTCTACGTTCCCTGGGTTGTTTATACGAGGCAGTGAGCTTGAGAGGAGCGTGTGGACACTCGTCGTATGACTGCTCCATCTAGTTAGATGAAATAATAGTATTAATTTAAGAAAAATAATCTTATATAGGTTTGCAAATGATTTCTTGTTAGTCATTAAAGTATTTAGACTTCATGCATATTGTAGATGATTACCTACTTAAAATGTAAGAATGATAGTAGACATATTTTACTACAAATATAATGCTATGTATACTATGATGATTCATAAATGTTATGTTATACTTTGATATAATGCAGGTATTCATTTATGATTCATAAATATATATGAAATATCAATGAATGTATGTTACAGGTATTATGCTATAAGAAATGACATGAGTAATGAATGGGTAGACTATTACATACAGGGATGTATTCCCGACACCTGATATTTATATGAGGAAGAAACTCTAGAAACCGTTGGTATTAGACGTGACAGAACGTTAAGAAATTGTAAGTATCAGAGGGGTTGTAAATATTGATATGTTGAGGGAAGTTCAACCTTTATCTATTGTTTATATGATCTTTAGGGCATTATGAAAAAACTTGTTTATATGATCTTTAGGGCATTATGAAAAAACATGAAAATAGTTAAACTTTATACATTAAACAAGTGACATTATTAAGATATGATATCTATCAAATGAATGAACATGCTTTTGATTATGGTTATGATTTCATGCTTACGAACTACACATTACACTGTAGTCTTGAATTTTGTACCTACTTTCTCATGCAAGCATGTATGCTTTATGCAGACATGTATAGTTTTCTAAGAGCATGCATATTAATTCTTTTTCATGTGTAAAATCTTATATTAGCCCTAATAATTCTCTGAACTTATTGTTGTTCATTCTTTGTTGTTGCCTTCAAAGTAAAGGCAACAAGCACCGGGGCGAGTAGCCAGGTGTGTCATTGTACAGCTTTTGCACGTTAATTTTGGGAGCTTTGTATATAAATTTTGGGTAAGTATTTTTATTATTTTGGATTTAGCAGCTCTATAAAGTTTTCATGTTTTGGATGATTTAAATTTCATGCTTTCGAATATGTAATTAAAATGCAATGTATCATGTATGTGCGGTGATCCAGTTAAACTAATTCATCACCAACTCTGTTCTGATTATAAAGTTAGGACGAGTGTTGGTGAGAGTTGATCTGACCCAATCGTCAGCCTCTGTGGCACCCAGCCGACCCCTAAAAAGAGGGGTCAGTTGGGGTGTGACTCTCCAACAAAAATATGATTAATGAAACTATAAATTGATATATTAGATTAACCTCTTAACAAGTTTAATTGCATTAAGTAATTTTGGACTTGTGAACATGCATGAAGTAACATGGAAAGTTGCAAGCAATAAAACACAACAAGAAGGCTACAAAAAAGATGGATGAAAAGGCATCAAGAAAACATCTCGTTGCAAAACGCTATTTAATATAATGCATCCTTGCCAAAAAAAATAATCCAAAGGGAGAGGATTATTTAGCTTGCCTTACCTAACCTTCTTTGCTTTCCATTCCTCTATGAGTATCTAACAATTAGACAACTACCTACATGACACAGAAGGCATAGCAGGATTGTAGACATTCATCGGGAGATCAAATGAACAACAGCAACAACTCTATATCCCACTAATTGGCGTCTGGCTACATGAATCTTTTTTCTCCATTGTGTCCTATTGATTGTCTTATATAAGAAAATAACATGAAGCAAAGAAAAATACCAAATCAAAGACTTAAAGATGTTGAATTTTCAAGAAATCATATTGTAAAAACATCAAGAAAGAACACATGAAACTTAAACCTAAACTTACTTGGGATTGCAAAAAATGGATCCACAAAGCAAAAAAGAAAGAGCGCAGAACTATAGAATATATAACATAGCATATTTTAGTTCATTGAGTTAGATTCAATTTAGTTTGATAGATTGAATTGATAGAGAGAATTTGAGTCCACTTTAACTTAATATGGCATAAATGTTGTCAAATTTTGTTCATATTGGCTCAATCAATCTTCATAAAATACAATTGGTTGGCAAGCTAAACAAAAAATCTTCCTCCTCTTGTAGGCAATCACCAATGTCGGATGAAAGGAAGTGAAAATAGCCTAAACCACAAACACCTCCGACCACCTAAGGACCAACCAATTGGAATCCAAAAATGGATTTAAAGCGAGTTGCACATTTGTAACCTCAATTAGCAATGTGACCTTAAATTGTAATAAATTTTCAAAAAATTTCAAATTTTCCTTCATTTAGTCACCATGCTTTTTATGCTCTAACTTATTGCAAGACAGTCTCAAAATATTCCCTATGACGAGAAATAGTTCATCTCTTTATTTGTAAGCAGTGATACTCATGCATGCTTGATCCAAATAGTAAGGCCACAAACCATCATGAAACTTTTCCATCAATCTATCAAGCAAATTTTTTAATCACCATCACACCTAGGGCCCTGACGTCATTGTAAAATTTCCAAGTTTTCCGATCAACCAACAAAAAGGGGTTAACAAAGATTAAAAATCTGTTTGAAAAAAAAAAGATGAACAAATTTATTGATGTAAAAGGAACCCCATGGATATCAGAGAGGAAAATGAGGAAAATCATCAAAAAAAAGAAAAGAGAGAGAGAAAAAAGAATAAATGAGGGGAATCTTTTAAGTATCATCCAGGCAAAAACTTAAATAACATAAAATACTATAATATTTTAAAAATAATCAAGATTTACTTTTATGTGTGTATTGTGCTGCATTACTCCAATAACAAGTGTTATTTTGTAAAATGCAAGAACAAGATACATGAAACAGAAATTTTGTTGTCATAGTTTAAAATGTGTACTCTTTAATACATTTTAGTAAGATATAAAAAAGGAAAGTTATTTTGAACAATTTGTATGCATGTGTATTATACAACATCCAAATTTACCAAGTGTTTTCTGGGGTAAATTTATATGACTACAACTAATAACAGCTGGTGATAGCAAGTCGTTTGCTAAAAATACAATGAAAAAAACTTGGATCTTTAAATATAATACATTATGCAGCGATGGGTGACAATCATATATATTGCACTTACTAAAACACAATGAACAAGTAAAGACAATAAATAAGAAAGAGTATCAATATATTCAAGATTATGAAGAGAAATATAGTAGCATTACCCACTGCAAAAAATCTTGCGCTTCAACATAATCAATAGACTTATCATGCCCAACAAATCTGCTAGCCAAAATGTACGTCTGCACCTCATCCAAGCACTACAAATACCACATAATATAATCTCAAAAGTTAATTTAAGAATGTTAATAAAAATGTTGAAACATATCCAATGAAAAAAGAAGACAGCAAGTCATTGCGATTCTATAGGTTTGTGTTAAACAGTTGCCTAGTTGGTGAACAGTACATTATTATTATGAAAAATTTATATACGTACCACACAATTCTTATGTATTTACATTTACATATCTCACACCTAAAATCTCACACCTAAAATTTTATATTTACATGCATGGCACTTTGGTGCTTTAAACCTATTTTCACGAGCAGATGGTTTTCACTTTTAAGAAATGGTAATAGTGCTAACTTTTATGTCATATTGAAGATTTCAGTGCTATATGTGTAAATATGAAAGTTTAGGTGTGAAATATGTAAATATAAGAATTTTGTGCCATGTATGTAAATTTTCCTATATTTTATCAATTATTAAAGCACAAATCTTGTTAACCTTGAAACAAATGGAGATGAATAGAAATAATGTTAGAGCTCAAAATCATTTCAACGGCCATTTTCATAAATGCAAATTTTAATCAAATAGAACTAAAATAGAAATAATCCAAAGAAAATTTGTAAAAGAATTATTGAATTTCCATATTAGAATCTTAAAACCGATATGACAAAATAATTTACCTAAGTAAAATTAATTGACTCCATAAAAGTATTTGATATAGTAAAAATAATATAATAAGAAGGTCTTATTAATGCACTAAAATTCTCAAATAATTTTTTCTTATTGAACGTTCATATCAGAAAATAAAGATCAGAAAGTGTGGCTTCAAATTAAGTTAATCAGTGAGTCATAGAAAAGTAGAAAATTATACATTTCAATATTGACAAAAGGTAACTTAACAACTACGTGTAGATTAGATCTCACAACTTATAGAGATTAAATACAAGCTTTATCTTCTAAAATGACGATCCAATTAATACTTATTCATTTAGTTGTGTAAGATAAAAGAATCAGAAATAATGTTAATCTAAAGGAAGCATACTTTATTATTTCTTGTGCCCCTATACGACAATGACACTAACAAGCCTTTATCACACTAAGTGGGGCCGACTACATGAATCATTTTTCTCCATTGTGTAAGTGTCATATTTTCATTTAGTTCAAGAAAATTAAGATCATTTTTTATTCAGCATGCCCAACTCTTTTGATGTCTACATTTATCTTTCTCAACATACGTTGAATCTAAAACATTTACTCTCATGATTGGATCATCAGATGGTCGATGTTTAAAGTGACCAAATCATCTAAAGCTCTCACTAATATTGTCTGCCACTAGAGCCACGCCAACCCTTTCACGGATATATTTGTTTTTCATTTTGTCTTTGTGTAAAGTCTCTCATTCACCTAAGCATTCTCATCTCAGCAACACTTAACTTAGTTTTATGCTTCTCTTTTATGGTTCTTGTGGGGCCTATATTGAAGATAATTTATAGGTTTAAACATACAAAAGAAATTTTTGAAAAAGAAAAAATTCATTACACATGCTTCGTTCAGCAAAAGATATACCCATTAGCCCTCTTTAGAAAAATTAGCATGGTCCCCATATGTCAATTAAAGTTATAATTAAAACCCTTAAGTCAATATCTAGTCTTCACATAAGTCCCTAAAAACTAGCAATGCTAAACAGGGTTTTGAAAACCAGACCGAACCGATCCAACCTGGATACAAGAGTGGCTCTGTTGCGGATGGGAGCAATAACTGGATTAGCAGTGAATCGGCGTTGAGCAGCTCGAATCGTTGGTCCAACCGAAAAAACCGTTCACGATTTAAGAGAACCGCTCATTCCCATTTCTGTCACTCGTCGTTTTGTGGAAGAATATAGTGGCACGGTGAGCAAAGAGTGGAAAAGCAAATGGGTGAAAGCAATTCATATGAGGCTCTACGTGGGGAGTTTCCAATTGAGCCAAAAGCATTGGGAAGAGCAGTCAAATATATCATGGGATATCATGCTGGCATGGTAGATGAGGTCAATAGGAATCTCGAGGAAATTAAATTATAGAAAGAAAATTGCACTAAATTTTACTCATTTTAAGCTCTTTCAACATTTAATTTTTATTCATTATAATTTTTTTAAAGTTATAATGAAGTGATACTTATATTTCATATTTCGATTTTTTAAAAATCAATTATTAAATTTTGAAATAATTTATCATCAAAATTATTGTGGTGTTTGTTACTTAAATATTGAGAAGTTTATTTTATATTTAATAATTAATTTTTTTAAACATCATTTATGGCATATTTAAATAAACTTCTATTTTATTATGTCATCTGGTTGAACCCGGTTCAACCCCGATTCACCCTTTGAACCTTGAATCTCTTCATTTACCAGTTCAATGTTCGGTATGTTTTTCACAACCTTGATGCTGGGTGTACTTATGTATGCATTTTCGTGAAATAGAAATGGAGAGGAAAAATATAAGATATTGGTTGGATCCTCCTAAGAAAACATGACTGGTGTTTCTTTTCTTTACCCTGACAAGTCATTTGCAATAGTTACTAGCATTGATGTATTCCAAAAAATGTAAGAGATGCACAACTTAAGATGGATAAATAAAATGCACTATATTGTTTGAGAATAACATAAGTAAAATGTGTAAAAGGAGACGGGAGAGTGCAGTGGCATGTTTATCCATGGATTCCTGGAGTTCTAGAAAATGCAGCGCCACCAGATTCTCCTCCTGAATACAAGAACTCCCACCGTTGACTCCAAAAAAAATGTTAACAATAATGATGTTTATTGGGGGCAAATACATCTTTTTTCTGCTTTATTGGAAAGACTGGCACCTTAACGGGGGCATGCCAGTCAAGCAAACCGGGTTTTCGACATGCAAATACCATTCAAGTCCACTCTACTTGGGAATTAAGCAAAAATAAAGACGGGGAACAGATTTTGAAAGATTTAGCATCAAGCAATGGCTTTGATGTTAAAGAACTGTGATCAATTCCGACAACTTGCATTGATTCACTATTTAATATTCAAACGACTTTTTAGCAGTTAAATCACAAATACCAGTAATTTGCTAGCCCGAAGCGCGGCTTCCCTCAACTTCGGTTTTATGACAAGGCTGTGTACTCCGAGGAGTAACTCGTTCGAATCCAAGGCACGCCTAGATGCCTCATTTGGGGCCTTGAATCGTGAAACAGAGTCCAAGAACCAGGCGTGATTTCTCTTTAGCTTATTTGCCAGATTATCATCAAGTTCAGAGAAAGAAAGAGCACTTTCAAGCTCTTCTAGGAGAACGACGAAGGATTCCCACCATAGAGAATCGTCTAACCGCTTAGAACCCATTGACGTGGCAGTGGCAGGCAATGCGATGGTGTCCGCTGCGGCTGAGGTGTGGCTGACGCTGCCAGTAACGACGCCGTAGGAGCTGGCTGACGCAGGAGTGCTAGCCATGGCGGAAGGCGAGGGGTTGTGGCCCTGAGTTCCGACTGATGCGAAACCCTAGTTGGGGCTCCCGCGCTTTTGTATAGTTTATTATTAGCGGCATTTACGTACGTACCACCAATTCTTTAGGGAATGCCAAAGGGTATAATTTTTCTTTTTGTATTTTTACAGACTTGCATGCCTACCCCTAGGCTTGTAAGGCTTGTAAAAGAACCAATGCACCGTATAGAGAACTCTAGTTATGCTCAGTTAAATGTCTGTTAGGGCAGCTGAAGCTTCTCAATTTTTCGCCCTAGAAAGCTATTGCAGATAAGTTGCTAAGCGGAAACTAACTGTTTGTTTATTGTGTTGTGTGAAAACAACTGTGACGCAGCTGTTTTTGAAAATATGATTATTCTGCTCATGTTTAGTAAAACAGTTTAAAATACAACTGTAAAAGTCACATATTTGATGTTTTAGAAGTAGAAATTCATTTCAAAACAAAATAAAAGTTCAGTTACACAACTCACTTAACAATGAGTACCAAAATGGCTAAAGAAAAATAAAAAAAAAACTAATAAAATTACAAGTAAAATAAATATGATATTAATTTTAACATAACCGTGATGTATGTCTCGTCCTAAACTGTCCTCCAATGAATTAGTAAATAAATAAATTTAAACAATTTTTAAAATCTCAAAGCTTAAATAAACTAAATATAAAGCTAGTCAAACATATTTATTTATGTTCACTGACAAACCCATTTGTTCTTCAACAAGTAATTTGGTAAACACTCGATATTAAGTTCGATAATGATTTGTATCATATGTTATATATTATTTACATTAATTTTAATTAACTGTAATTTATTTAATTATACAGTAATATATTATTATATTAATACTATTTTTTAGATTAATTATTAGTTAAATACTTGTTTTATATATATATAACTGTTTAATACATATTTATTTTCTTAAATTATTAGTGTTAGATGTGAAAACGCATAAAACTTATGCTTTGTATATGAAATGACTCTTACAATTAATTTAAATCCCCCGCAAACTTCACTTTTCTTCTGGCCTCTCACAGTTTTGTCTTTTCAGGTTTTCCCCAAAACATACGAAATTCTGAGTTGTTAAGGCGTGCAAGAATTGAAGGCAATGACAAGATAGTGGCATCCAAGGATCTCTGAAACTTTAATTTCACATATCTCTCATTTTCACTATTCTCATAAGTTTGACCCAATTAAAATGTGGTGTTGAAAAAGTTCAATTCAATCATTATAAAGTAGTATATGATGAAGAATAAGGGCGATACAACAACTTAATATAAAAATATCAACAAAATTGTCCAAAAACCTTGGGTAAGTACAAGTGCTTGTCGTTGTGGAAAAACCAACACCTGCATTTGAATGTGGGAGTTAGGGTTGTGAACGAGTCGATTTTGTGCTAAAGCAATGGTGGCTTCAAATTAGATCAAAATTATTTTAAATGGAATAAAATCGGCTTGTGGCTCGATTCAACTAAATTTCGATTCGAACCAGATAGAAATTAAACAATTTATGAGTTTGCTTGAATTGTAAACGAGTCGACTCAAATTTGAAATGAGTAAGCTCGAATTTTATTTTTTGTTCTTGAGTCGAATAGATTAGGCTCAAAAGCTGAATCAAGTCAGCTCATGTCAGCTCGAAAACATAATGATCTAGCTCAAAAACTTCCTTTGAACATAAATTATTTATTTATATCATAAACAAAGTAAAGTTCACAAAAAAAGGAAATTATTTTCATTGAAGAGATCATCAATTTACAAATTTGCAATTAGGCGAAACTACAAAACATTTATTATTGGCAAACTTGTATGCAAAACTCATAAATTAAAAATTACACATTACAAATTTACAATTTACAATTAAAAATATCAAATATGAAAATTACACAACTTCAAGTATCAATTACTCTTCCTTCTTAAATCTTGATGCTTTCATCCTCAAAAATCACTTCAACGCTGCAAAAAATAAAAAATAAAACTTAGAAGTTAAAAATTTCTTTAAGTATTTTAAAAGTTTGCATGAAATAATAAAAATATAAACTCATTAAATCAAAATAGGAGTAAACAAATATCTTCAGTTTTCATATTTAATTTCCATAAGACGGTTGACTAGTCAATACATTTCAAAAACTTAAAGAAAATATCTATGCAAATACTCATGTAAATGTTACCATCACCATATGAGTTTTTCCTTTTTTTTATGAAACAAATAAAGCAGAAAAAAAAATGCTCATAGCCAACTTAATTTTAGTTTCAGAGTCTTACAGGCATACTACTTCATTCTCTATTACATTCCATAAAATCAACTGAAACAAATAGAATAACAGCAAGACAATAACATATAGAAACAAACAAGTATGCAAAAGAATAACCAAAGAGAGTAATCAACCTATTTCATTAAAATCTTCTAGCCAGTGCTAAAAAAAGAATATGAAAACACAAAAACAGCTAGCATTGCATTCTTTGCTTCTCTCAAGTATTGCAATCCATAATCCATTGAAATTAACATAAAAAATACCACTTTTAACTTTGATTTTTACATATTTTCCACCTTACCTATGAATGAAAATGTGTATTTCACTATTTAGAAGCTGAGAGGTAGTATTATTTGTGTGATATGACAGATTTGGGTGGTATAAATGAAGAAAGTGGAGTGTAAGAGTTAGACATGTAAATACAAAGGAATTGGTTGGTATGTATATTATGATAATAAAAATAAAAAAGTAAAGATTATTCATGAATTAATAAAAAAAATAAAATTTTATTCAGGGGCATCTACTAAATTACTGCACAATTCTTATATATTTACATATCTAAAACCAAAAATCTCATATTTTCATGCATGATCAGACTTCAGAAACAACAAGAATCAATTAATCAAGACATTACAGGCCAATGTAAGTGCTAGTACCTGTATACAACAAACATCTATCTTGTCACACGTATGGATATAAAAATAAAGCCTAAATAAGATAATCAGCAAAATAGGTAAGTTTAGTGGTCGCATCAACTTTTGATGTTACGTCTTTTAGGATGTTTGTTTGAGCCTACGAGATTGTACTCTACTCCAATATAATATCACATTGCTTATAAATGTTCACTTCAGTTCTCCGACGTGTAATGATGGCACCAGGTTGAATTTCAGTCAGAGCGCACCTGTATCCTGACTCTGGCACACTTGGGCTTGCCCGCTTTTGGTGCACCTACACCAGGAAAATAGTGCACTCGTATGGAGAAACCGAGCGGACAGAGAAAATGTGCTGACTTTTAATACTTTATGTCTTAGTTGTAATAAGATGGTCCCAACAATCCTTCGTTGGCTCAACTTTATTCTGAAATGTCTTTATAAGGCCTTTCATGTATTAGTGCAATAGTTAACGGAGAAATATAAAGATTGGTGAAGCTCTTCACACTTTCCTATTTGTTGGTTTTAAAAATAGTATCAGAGCCCCATCCTCAACAGGCTTTTCCCTTCGATCCTTTGGATGATTGCATCCTCTCAAGTCGGTTCTTCTTGATCCTATGTGTAATGTTTTCTTCCTCTCTACTCCCATCTCTAGATTCTAATTCCTCAAATGATACATACGATCCTTATTCTCTCTCCCAAAAGATACCTCCATCCCTAAAATTTCTCATGGAAAATGTTGGTAACATTGTTACCATCCAATTGACCACGAAAAATCATCCTAATTGGAGCTCACAAATATAAAACTATTCAAGGTGGATGAGTTTGAATCATGTTTTCAAAGAAAGCCAGTTTTCCCATCTTCTTCTTCTAGTGGTACCGATTATTCGCTGAACAATGCTTATCAAACCTGGAAGCTCATAGATCAAAATCTTATTGTTGCCCTCTGTTGGCATCAAATTTTTTATGTCACATGTATAAGAAGTATAAATGAATGAATCAAGACTATTTATTATTCATTCATAGAGTCTAATAGCTCAATACATCCATCTAGACCTCCTTGTACATGTATGGGGCACAAAACCAGGATCTGCGATGATTCAGCCTTACCTGGGAGAATCCATAGTTAGATTGCATCAGGTACAATTTGTGATACATTTAATGTCCATTCTGGTTTTTAGAGACCATAACCCATCTATTTGGGTCCTCCCATAGCTAAGGTAAGAAATGAGAACCACCCACAAGAGTTTCCGAAAAATTAGAGTTTCAAGCGATGTACTCGCATGAAAGTTTGGAGCGCCCTTTGGCACCAAGTTCCCTTGGAAAAAGACAAATAAAAGTTATTATTTTTGGAGTTTTGTAACTATATTTTAGTCATATTTAAACTCACATAGCTTTTGAATATAGAAAACACTCCACCATGTGTTTTCCACAAAAATCGAGGTTTTCAGCCCTAATTGATGCTTAGGCGCCTAAGAGACGGGCCCGGTGCATAAATGCTAGTACCCAGGAAACTAGATACTTAAAACATCTCTAGAAACCCAAGAGGCTAGAAATTATGTGTCATGAATTTGGTGCCTAGGGATAAACTATTTCAAAGCCTGATTTCTCCCTCAATTTTTGTTTCTTTTTACGCCCGGAACAACTCCCAAGCATCCGAAATTCTAGGATTTCTTGCTCAATGAGAACATGTGCCTTGGGGAGGCAAAAATGGGTGGATGGATCCTTGTATTGATCTTCCGAGGAAGGTTTTGTTGGGGGGGTGGTGAGCTTGGGCTAGGTCATCTTCTTCCTTTGAGATCTTTTGCTCCCCTAACTTCCCTGTGGCGTTTTCTTTTGGCTCTTCTTCTTCTTTGAAGCTAGAGTGTTCTCTTGGAGGCTTTGAGGTGGAAAGCCTGGGAGAAAGGTGAGGAAAATGTCTTGCTCCCTCCAGCCACTACTTCCTCCTCATCTTCTTCTTCCGCTAAAATCTATCTTCCCCTTCATCTTCTCCTTCTTCCCCAACCATTGTCTTTGTATGTGTGAGGGCTCATCTCAAAGAATCTGCATTGTGTAGGATAGGAGAGCTTCATCTCTCATAAGGAAGTAGGAGAGTGTCATCTCTTCTGAGGAGGAGGGAGAACTTCTTCCTACCAACGTTGAAGCGTGGACAACTAAAAAGAATGAATTGATCAACTGTCATGTGGGTAAGAATCTTTG